TTGGCATTCTTAGAACATTCTGAACTAGATCTACTCCCCTCTTCCAACACATTGACAAGGTTACGTTTCCTGCTTTCCGTTTCAGTAACAATTTAGTTTTTATGAGATGGGTTGTTGGCCCATCGTCAACCTCCAGAGGAAGATCCTCATAAGTTACTGCTGGAGGAGACAACACACAGGTTTCTGGTTGCCATTTTGAATAAAGCATCCTCATCTGCCCTTTGTTGTTGGGGAGATAAACCTTTCATCAACCTAGTAGTCAAGCATCCTCACTATTTGACTCATAGCTTATGGTAAGAGGTTATTTGGTCGCTTTAAGCACAAGGAGGCTATCCCGAAAAATGCTGTTTAGTGAAAATCGAAGGTAAAGTTTTCACCCCTTGTTCAATTTCTTCAAAAGACAACGCGAGTTTTCTATATAACCAAACAGATAAACACACCAACGAAACCAAACTTCTCCTATAGGTAGGGCGATGCCGACTTTTGGTGCAGGTCAAGATTTCTGGAAACTGGAAACCCCTGAAATCTGGGTTAGCCCGCTTGTCCTTAAAAAATGACCCTTCATGGGCGCCTCAATTCGCCTGATGGCCACTTCCCCGGACGTGTTGAGGCGTTTAATAAGAGTAGCAGAACCACCAAAACGATCCCATCTCACCCTCTGTAGTCACTGCCAGTTAGTCAGCGGCTGCTTATTATTAGGTGGTCGCAGCTAACCCCCATATCATATCTGGAGGTTGTCCACTATCCGCCACCTGTGACGCGCTGGGTTGGAGGTGGTGGCCCCAATTTTTCCAAGTTCTTTCCCCTGTATCTACGAGTACATAACTCCAGAGGTCTTGCAATCAAATTCCTGCATGTGGTTGAATGATGCATCTGATGCGATAAGTACATTTTGTCAGCTTTACTTCTCTTTTCATGTTGAATTTTAATGAGAATAGATCTAATATATAATTTAGATTTTTTGAAAATGTATACCTGCATCTGTTTTCACGGTCCTGTACAGCCAAGAAAACTTTCCCTCTGGGATAATAGAGTATTATCTTGTCTTATCTTAACTCTTCGTAGCTTATACAGCTAGCCAGTTCAGCTGGTTCACAACATCGCTTGGACTTGACTGTTTAAAATGGTGACAGACATCTATCAAACCCCAGCCAATCCTATTTAGATCTATCTATACTGGCAATCAAAAGAAAGGTTCCACTTTTAAAAAAATGTGATAACAATTTTAGTCTTTTGAGTCTTTACGTTGATCCTTACTTAGTATTACTCAGGTAAAATAAGAATAAGAAATGATGAAACTGAGAGAGAAGTGGAGCTTTTGAAAGTTCAAAACTTTTCTGTGCCAGAATTGGTCTCATTGGCCACAGCGAAGCCAATAGGTCATCTTGAATTTTAATTCTTCAAATTCTTCTATTTCATTAGAGAAATACATTCTGAGGATGTATTGGTCATCGTCAGACATTGGGGGACGAGCTATTTCTTCTTCTTCGTCTTCTTCTTCTTCTTCTTCTTCTTCTTCTTCTTCTTCTTCTTCTTCTTCTTC